GGGGGCGGCACTTGGACTGCCAGGAATTCTGCCTGGGGTTGATGCCCGGCAGGGCACCTGCTGGTATGTGGGCACAAGTTGGGTGTCCTGGTACCTGGACAAACACCCTATTTTTTTACTCTTGTTCTTTTTCTTTTTCTTTTTCTCCGTCCTTGTGCAGGGGACGTGCTAATCTTCTTTGTATCGTTCCAATTTTAACAGATATCTGGATGCAGTATGTCAGAATATACCATAGCACTATGTGCAACTTTTTTTTTTTTTTTTTTTTATGTGCAACTTTTGATAAGCCCCAGCATTGGAAAAGATGAAGACCATCAAAAAAGGGGAAAAATAAAAAGAAAACTTTCAGCAGCGGGGTGCGATTTCAATGTAGCAACCTGAGGGGGTGCATTCGATCGGCAGCAAAAAATATAGGAGCTTTTCATGTGTGGGCGCAGTGGGGACTCTGATTAATTGGTAGCAAAAGAATTAAGTCCGACAGTCTGTGTTCCTCCAGGCACACAGCCCCCTTCCTCCTGAAAGCTTTCCATGGACGAGTTCCCGTTCTCAAAGGGTCGAATACCGAACCCCATGAGGAGTGCTACAGGGTGCGCTAAGATTCCAACTTGAAATACCCCAACTGCCGTTATTTTTAATTCTCATTCCAGCAACGAAAAAAATTGAAAATAATTCAGGGTATATATCAATGTCCGACAGACGTATCTCACTCGCTTCCTCCTGCGCTGCCTCCAATTCCTCCGACATCTCGGGACTACAACGCCACCTCCTCACCCCTTTCTGCCTGGCTTGTGCCGTTAAGTGCGGAGCAAGAGCGACAGAAGTCGAAAGTTCTGAAAAAGGCAGCTTGGATTGTCGAACAGTGAGGGATTACTTTCTGGGACTCCTGGAATCACCTCAGTAGTGTTTGTGTGTGTGTGTGTGTGTGTGTGTGTGTGTGTGTGTGTGAGAGAGAGAGAGAGAGAGAGAGAGAGAGAGAGAGAGAGATTCATAACCCAAAATCTCAGCCATCCAACCACTGTGTGTGTGTGTGTGTGAGAGAGAGAGAGAGAGAGAGAGAGAGAGAGAGAGAGAGAGAGAGAGAAAAGCGTCATGACCCGAAATCTCGGCCATCCAACCACTGTGAAAAGGAGAAAGGGTATTTCTGAAATCAAGTGGGTTGCAGGCTG